AAGCTCTCAGATAACAACATCACCATGGGGAGATCCATTCATCATTTATCCAGCAAACATGTATACAAGGTTCCTGTGCCAGGTACAAGGGATACAGTGGTAAATAAAATAGGTAAGGTCCTGCGCCTGTGTTAGCTTTAATGCATGTGATTATTGTATCCTGTTCTCTTGGATGCATCCCTTGCTAGCCAATAAGCCACCAGCATTTACTAGGTGCCTACTGTGGTGTAGGATATGCAGTTTCATCGCTGTAAAACTCCTTCAGCCCTCGGATGGAAATGAATGAAAGCTGTTGCTTTCATTCCCAGCAGCCAATACCTGTGAGTCTTTGTAGGCAGGCTGTCCTCAGGCTGCCAGAACTCCTTCTACTTGAGTGCATGGAGAGCAAGAAGTGCCTGGGCAAAAACAGTCCTGGGGCAGCCCTTAACTGATGACAGGCAGGTACAGAGGTGTCAAAAGCCCAGCTGCCTGCCCCCAGGGGGACAACTCCCAGGTGTGACTTCATTGTTTCCACAACTCTCCTGCAGGACTCAGCCAAAATTATCCTCCTGGAACTTTGCTGGATTTCACACCCTTGACGGGCCCTCTTTCCTTTCCTGTCCTCCATCTCTATTTGCGTACCCGTTTTCCCGGGCTCCACTTCCTAACAACCTACTTTCAGACACATCCTCGTCTCAGGATCTGTTTGTGGGGAACTCCTTCACCCAAGATAGAAAGACAAGAAAAAAGGAGGTAGCAATTTTTCCTGGTCTTCATGTTACTACAGACAGTGAAGCAATGGGCCAGGAGTCAGTCACTGTGAACACTAACGTACCACTTGGCAAATTATTTTTGCTATAAACTAGCATGTATTCAGAACTGTCTCTGTAACGTGTTCTCTCTCTCTTGCATTCTGAGATGCTTTATGAGTGGGGAAAAAGAAGAGGCGCTCCTGCTTGCTGGGATTTGTAGATCACTGCCACCTGTGTTATTGCCAATCTAGGCATACCTATGAGAGTGGGTCCTACATCAAACATCAACTGCTGTGGGTTTTTCAGTGTGAAAAAAGTGGAGACATGCTGGATTGGAGCCCCAGGAAATCTTGGCATCGTGCCTCCTGGACTAAGTTCCCAGAAGTGAGGCTCGGAGGCCCAGGCTCTCCCCAGGTCCACACGAAAAACACATCTTCCTGTCACCTCATCTTTTCTCACTGAATCCACCTCTTCCAGGAAATTATCTTGGATTCCTTCCTCTCTTCACTCACTCAGCCCTCCCCGAGTTCTCCTGTGGCACCGAGGAACGTGGCACCGAGGAACGTGGGTTATGTTGGAGCTACTTTCTTAGCACTCAGGTACTCCCCCTCTCTCCACCCCCAAGCCAGCTGGAAGCTGAGTTTTTAGCTCAAATCACAGGCTGACAGAGCACATTAGGAGCCCTCAGCCATGGGCAGAATGTGGGGGCTGGGGCTGGTCCTGCTGTCACAGAATCGTGGCTATGGGCAGGTGATGAGCTTGTGCCCCCCAGAGCTTGGTTCTCTCCACCACCAAACCCATGTGAGTCTAGTGTGGACACCAGGGAACCTGTGCCCAGCTCACTGCCACGTTAGGACCTTGCCCTGCTTGTTCCTCTGGCTCCTCTGCCTGGACTGACACGTCCAGGGTCTGGACCGAACTCTTGGGTGTTGATGGGATTCTGCTCCCAACAGGCCTGTGTCACCCAGTCTGCACCATTACACTCTGCAGCACTGGAGCCCTGGCTGCCTTGCCCTGCGTCTGCTGTAAAACTGGCAATGTGTCAACCCCCACACTGAGCTCAAGCTAATGGAGCCTCTTGAGTCCACTGGCTGGGCCTCAGGCCACCTTTCTCAGATTTCTGAGTTCCAGCAAGCTTGGATGCCAAGGATTCTGGAATAGTGACACAGCACATGTTCCTTGGTATCACAGGGTCTGTTTTTTGAATCTTGCTAGACTCCCTATTGAGTGGGGATGCTTATAAGCAAAAGGTACTGTCTTACATCTGAGGCTGCTTAGGCTGCTAGACTGTATACATGAAGTACTCATTAAACGGCTGCTGACTAATTCCTCCTCCAGGCCTTGTCAGAGGCTGGCAATGGCATTCACTCATACAAGCATCCGTTCTCTACCCATCCATTCACTTAGTCATATAATAAATATCTGAAACTAAAGAATGACTCCATTTCCTCTATTCTCTCATCATAGGTTGTTACCCTAAGAACTTAGATATTCATCAGATGGAATTTCAAATCTTCTACGGCGTCTTGGCCCAGTATTGGGCACACTTCCTAAGTCTGAGCGCCCTGAGACTGGGCATATTTTGAAAGTTCTACCTGCAATGGCACTTCTGACATCCTCTGGGACAGGATGGGCTTGCAGATTACAGGGCAGATAGGAGAATGCTTCTGTTCTTTTCCTTAGATTTAAGGCTTCATTGCTCCTGAAAAGTGATATTCATCCTTGCAAGGTGTGTGTGTATCTCCACATATGTTTGGATTCTTGAAAGGACGAAGAATATATTTGCAACTCCTACCGTCCATGAGACATTGGAAGGGGGCTGATCTGGGGGTGGGAACTGGGGCCCACCCTGGGGTTATTCCAGACTGATTAATTCAGGCTTGAGACAGTAATTGCTAGATTGCCTGATGGGGGCAGCGGTGGGCCCTTGCGGATGGATGGAGTTTCCCAGGGTCTGGAGACTTTTAGCGTGAAGGTCGGAAGGACAGCCTCCCACAGAAGCGACTATGAGGACTGGGAGCAAGGTCAGGGTGGGGTGTGGCCAAGCGGGAAGCCCCTGTAAGGTGTTTAACCTCTTAGGCGCTTCTCTGGATATGGGAAAGAAACAGTGGTACTCACTTTTAACGTCTTTTTTCCTCCTATGTTGTAATTTTCTCCACAGGCTCTGCTGGATCAGGAAAATCCTCATCATCCACACAACTTTGAGAGCAGGATTTTAGCGGGACCTGAGGACCTGGGGCCCACGGGGAAGGAGAGACCCTGGCTCTTACTTCTTCCTCCTTCCGGGGCCTTGCACAGCTGTAGCAGCTTTGCGAGAAGAGCGGCTAGGGAGCTGGGGCAGCCCATTCAGAGGAGGCGTGGCCTCCATCCGGAAGGGCCCAGGAGACAATACCCTCTTTCTCAAATACATCAGAGAGAGTGGGTTCTTCAGGCAAAGCAAATGCTGACCTTAGGGTGACCCAAAGCTGAGAAGCTGTTTTGGGTACTGGGAAACACACAGGAAATTAGACAGCTTCTTTGGCGTGGAGGAGCTCACACCCAAGAATGATCCAGGCTTGGAAAGGGCGTGTGTGCATGGGAGATGCTTAGGGAGTGCCTTCCTAGAGGGGAATGAGCAACAAGAGAATGTTTATTTCAGCTGGGCTCGAGGCAGCAGCTTGTGCAAACGCCCACGTGGCTCAAAGTCTAGAAACACCTGCGGCTGGTGCGTGACCCACGTAGCAGACTGTGGCTACGTGGGGAAGAGAAGCCGGGGCCAGAGGAGGGCCTGGTGCACCTTCTCTACTGGCTAGAAATGAAAGGTGTCGTTGATTGAGGGTATCTGAAGTGCCAGGCTCAGTGGCTTATACTGTACAGTATAGAGGATAGTGTAGTTGGCAGTGGCTTTCAAGCCTGATGGGGCATCAGAATCCCCTGGGAAACTGTTAACAATTGCACATTATAAGACTGCATCCAGACCCACTGATTCAGAAATTCCGGGGGTCGACCCCAGCAATCTGTGTTTTAATAAGACTCCTGGGTGATTTGGATGCAGGCCAAAGTTTGAGAACCACTGCTGTAGTGGAAACAGTACTAGACTTTGGATGGTGGGGTGGGCTGGTGAGGGATGGAGGTGCGCGGGGAACACGGGTGAAAGTCTACCGTGTCTGAGTTACGGGCTATATTACTTGCACGTTCTTTTAAGTGCTCTAAGCAATAACGTTGGGACGGGGTCTTTATCACCCTACTCTCAATATAGATGGAGAATCCGAGGCTTAGCGGGGTTAAATGACTTGCCAAAGATCACACAGTACTAGAGCTGCGTTCTGCACCCAATTTGGCTTGATTCCCAGAGTGAGATTGTCAGTGCCTGTTGGGACCACTGACCCACCAATGTGCAATGATCTGGGCAGCAGGCCTGGAGAACCCATCGGGGGCTGGGTGGAAGGAAGGGCCCCAAAGCTTGCATCACTTTCCCTGAGGACCTGGTGGTGGCCAGCCCTGAGGCTGATGGGAGAAAGAGGATAAATTCTACTCTAATTCCTGTCCTCAAAGGACAATTATTTGAATTTTCATAAGGTTTGCCATTCACACCAGGGAGCTGCACTTAGCACATGGGCGCTTTCAAGAGACCAGCTGTCGTCCCTGACTCCTAGGGCTGATAGGTGAAACGTGAGGTTAAGTGAGAAAAGCAGGGTACAAAATGACCTGTATGCTGTGACGACAACACCTTAGATAAAAAATAACACACCATTAAGAACACACAGGGCGAGGAGAGGAAGCCCGAAGGAATTTTCTTTTTCTCTTTTCCTAAAGTGCATTATGTAGTTACAATTATTTGTATGATGAATACACAGTCATTTATTTTTAAAGTGCAACCGCTCACATCCCCTGTGGAAGGCAGTGGCGTGGTGGATGACTCTGTGTGCCTAGTGGTGGAGCAAGGCTCTCTCTTCTGAGAGGGCTGGGTTCGTTGGCCCCTTCAGCCTGTCTTGAATGAAGGCAGCAGTGGGACGGGAGAGCCATGATGCACTAGCGATGTCCGAGGAGCTGTGATATTTATCCTCTCATGCAGTTACAAGTCAAGCCTCAGGGTCTCAGAGACCCTCTGGAAATCCCTCTAGACAGAGCTGTGGCCTAGAGGGCTTAAGAGGGATCCTGGGGCCTAGGACCCAGCACTCTCCCAGGTCATCCTGATAGCAGCCAGCAGGGAAGCCCAAATCCAGGACGGCTGAGGGCTGGGACTGGCAAGAAGAAGCCTCTATCTCCAAACAAAGGCCACCAGACACCTTTAAACACAAAATAGTCTTTTATTTGTCAACGAAGGCTACACGGGATCTCTTCTGGTTTTGTTTTTATGCTTTTTTTTTTCTAGAAGGTATCTACATCTGCATTTATTTACAGCCTTGTTGGTATTTACACAGTCAAGATACAGTGTTAGAAACACAAAAGTGTTGAGAAAAAAACTTCTCAAAATTAGTTCCAGACTTCAGGAAAATGATTGCCACATGGTAAGGCCAGAGTCTCTAGTGTTGGTTGTCCAGAGGCAGCTTGGTACAGACTCCTTTTGCCGAAGCTGTGGGTTCAGAGGTCCTCAGAACAACAGGTGGATTTAGAAAAGTGGGATTCTGGTGTTGGGTGAATCCAGCGCCGCTGGGGCCCCGCCAGACACCTGTGGCTCAGCTCCTGCCAGGATGGCTGAGCTGCTCCAGGCTGAGTTCTCCCCTTGGCAGTTCGCCCTCAGAATAAATCACATTTTCTCGGGGACCAGGAGGTCGGCTAGTAGCTTGCCTTTGGCATTCCAGAGGGGGTAAGAAACACAACATTGGCCCTCGCCTGGGCCTCCCCCAACTCTGATCCTCCACATTCATAATGAAACCTAAGTGTCACCACTGTATGGGGCAGTCAAGTACACAAGGATGGTTTTTGCAAATGTAAAGGCTGGAGAGGATAAAGTTTCTATCACCTCAGCAATGAGTCTTTAAAATGAATTTGCTGTTTTTGGAAGGTTAAATAAAAGGGTCTTGAACTGCAGAGTTCTTTTTTAATTCCATTTCCTCCAATAAAATATAGACAAGTGTATAAATCTAACTGGGAATGATGTGCCTTAACAGAGGGGTTTTCATTCTAACGAGGACCCCAAGGGAAAGGCGAGACTGGGTTCTTTCTGGGATCCCTCAGGAGATGTGTCTCTGGGCCAGGACCGGCTCCTGGGCTTAGTGGCTGCTGTGAGGAGTGGAGAATAGCCTGGATTCTGAGCAGTGGATGCTCAAATCCCCAAGCCTGGGACCTGCCGAGAGCTCAAAAGCTCAATCCTGGGCAGAAACCTCAGCATCACTACCCTCACCACGTGGCCACCACAAATATAAGGCTGCAAGTGGCAAAACGGTATTCTAAGATAATCACATTGAAAGCCTCATCTTTCCATAATGGAAATCCCTGCCATCTATAAAGGTGATACTTTAAAGTCACAGCTGAGAAGGTTTGTTTTTCTTCTTTTTTTAAATGCTGATTCTGTGTTCTGTGTCTATAAAACACTGCCCGGTCTGCCTCTCCATCCTCTTCTGCGCCCCCTCCTGGTTATCTGGACGCACACCTCCTGGCCATTCTCACCCTCGGTAAGTTCCTTAGGGATTATTTCCAATTCTCTATCCCCAAGTAGAAATCAGGCACTGGTGTGGTCCTTGGGTTAATTCTTAGCCAACAATTCTGAGAGATGAGGATCAGAGGCTGGCAGGGAAGTAACTGACTGACATGCCTTCCCCTTCCTCCAGTTGTCCTAGCTCTGCCCTCCAACAATGTCTGTTTGGAGTGGAGGGCTGGGGGTAAAAAGGAAATCTCATCCTACAAAAAAGAAAGGTGGGGAATCAGTTAAGTCCTATTTAAGGTGGTGGTATAGGGGCTGAGGATGCGGGACCAGCTGGTGGCTGTGCAGGGCAGTAACTGTTTGAAAATAAACCTTCACTAGGGTCAGAGGCCAGCGTCCTGTAGGATCATACAGCTGGGCAGGTGAGGGAGGTCTGGTCACTCTAATGAATGAACAGATTTGGCTGGTTAGTGTCAGAAGGGCCTGTGCGCTCAGGATGGGAGTTGATGCTTAGAGCCTGTTACGTAGGCACAGGGAACCCTGTCTTAGGACTTCAAACCCTCCCTTGCCATGGGGTTGGAACTGTTGGACTCAGCAGGAGGACAGCTCGAGAGGGGAGGCAATGAGTCACCTGCAGCCCAAATGGAAACCAACTCTAAAGTGCCAAGGCCAGAAGCACCATCTTCAATACAACAGCAGCAATGTGAAAGTGAGGTGCATAACACTGCCTGTACCACAGCTGAGATCCTTTCTCTAAAGTTTCGGGATCCTTCAACTTCTCTCCCCACAGAAACTGGGCTGCTATGGTGGTATGTAGCCCAGGAAAAATATAAGATCCTTTAAAGAAACAAACATTCAGACCAGGTACAGTGGCTCATACCTGTAACCCCAGCACTTTGGGAGGCCAAGGCGGGCCACCTGAGGCCGGAAGTTACAGATCAGCCTAGGCAACATAGTGAGATCCCATCTCCATGGGAAAAAAAAAAAAAAGAAATGAAAGACCCATTAATTCTCCGGTTCTGATCCGTAAACGTCTACCCTGTTCCTTTGGGGAGGGGGCTATGGAGGAGGGACAGGTGTAGGGAGCTGGTTCCTGTGGACCACATGCTGTCTCTGACCTCTGAGCAGATATCCAGCAGGTCTTCACTGATGTTGGCCAGCCAGGATGGGACTGATCAACTGGGCAGAAGTGCTTTGCCCAAGGGCCCTTGGTATGAAGAGTACATTCTGAGAGGCCTAAGTCCCTTCTGAAGAATAAAACTCATGTTCTTTAGGCCAAACTGTTTTCCATCTCATCCAAGAACGATCCTGCCAGATGGGAGCCCCCATCTCCAGCTCATGTCTCACATAGCAGGCCTGGGGAGCACTGTATCTGACTCAGTAGAGCTCTGGATCCAGGGGAAACGGGCAACCAGTGGACAGGCAGGCCAAGGTGCACTGCTGCGGCAGTGTGACTTTTTGGAAACAGGAAGAGCACTTAGAGAAACACATCCTCTCATCCCAGTGGGATGACGTAAGGCGACACCTCCTCTCCGGAGAAGTTTTGGATGCCTCCCTCTGCCAGGCAGAACCCAGACTATATGCTGCTCCGATTCTCATGCAGTCAGAGACCTTCTCAGTTTCATTAACTTGTGTAATATTCTGAAGACTCTGTGAGTAAGGCTATAAAGGTGCCATGAGCTTATCAGTCCAACAAGGTTTCCACGGGGAATAGCTCAGACTCAGAATTCATTTTCCACACTTAATGTAAATGTAACCCATAAAAGTTCCATTTTCTAAGAAGCCCAGCTTAAAAGGAAGCATTTGGCTTCCCCTCCCGTCTCCCAGATCCTCTTGTGAGTGGTAACGACAATAGTAATTAGGTGGATGAACCAGGAATGGAATCCTTGAACAAGGGGCTCCCAGCTCTGGCTGTGATTCCCCCTGCCCTCACTGCTCCCCCAGCCTGCTGGCTGCTGCCTCGGCTTGGGGGTGCTGTCCCTGCTCCTGAGAGGGCTCAGGCCCCTCCCTGATGACGGAGGCACAAGTCTTCACAGGAACCACGCTAGCCTGGCCTCCCAGATCCACGAGCACCCACCTTGGGAACTACCCTGCTCCTGGAGGGGTTGTATGACACGGGCAGGCCACACCACATCAGCTCTTTCCTCCTTTCTTCCTGTCACTAAAAAACACCCTGGTTGGGCTTCTCTGAAGGGAAAGCTGTTTCAGAACTTAAGAAACGTCCTTGAAGCCCATCCTGCCCCATTCCAGCTCTGCAATCAGCTTGTACATGGAGGCAGACGGGACTTCAGGAGCTGGTTAGAAGGATGCTTGACTCATGCCTTCCTCTCTTTGGCTGTTTTTTTTTTCTTATGCATTTTTCCAGAATCAAAGGCCACCAAGAACCTCCCTCCACATTCCTACGTCTCAGTGGTGGCAGCTGGGCAGTGGAGGGAAGATACTCAAAGTCAGAGAGTGGGCTTCACCTTGGAAGGCAGGCTAGTATCCTCGCCACCACTGCCATCCCTTTGCCATGGGTGGCCTTCCCTTCCGTGGACATGGTGCCTACACTGAGGGCTTGCTGTGCAGTGCTGGTTCTCACATCTGGCTTTGGGAGAGAGGACGAGATGAACAGGAACATCATGGAGGACCAACCAATCACAGGCATCCTGGGTGCTTTCCCTCCCGGGAGGATGGGGTGCTAAGCCCAGGACGTTATGTCACCGTTCTGGGAGAAAGGACCTGGGAGACACTTTCTCTATCCCAGCATGGTGGTGGCACTGACAACTACATGAGATTTGCCAAAGGGGTAGGGGGTTTCATTTCGCATCAAAATAGAAAGCTTGGACAGGAGTTTGGGGCAGCTTAAAAAAGGTGCTGAACACCACCATGAAATTCCCTTGAGCAAGATGAAGCCATCTGTGGTCCTCTGGAGGCACAGAACACGGTGAGAAGAAACCCACCACTCTTCCGCAGAGTCCAGCCAAGGTGCCGCAGGTCCTCCCAGGCCCCCTTGGAAGGTGTGTTGTGCTGGCCCCTCACTCCCTTTACTCCTGCCCGACCCCAATTGAAGAAGAAAGGGTTGCACAAGAGACAAGTTAGCACAGACATTCATGTCCCACATCACACTGGGTACCTAGGGACAGACAAGGACACACCCCAGGAGATGTGTCTCAGAGAGGAGATACATACCCCAAACGACAAGGGGAAAAACCCTCAAGGAAAAAGGGAACAAACGACAATCAAGTTTTCATTGTGATCACACTACAGAAAAAAATACCTCCTGTTCTTTGCAAAAAATGTGCGAAGGCCAAATTTGTGTTTCTCTTTTCTAAAAAAAAGGATGTTGCATGAGTTACAATGCAACCAGTATCTTTTTGTTTTCTGCACTTGTTAAAAAAATCATTTTTTTAAAGTACAACACAGTCAGGTATGTGGCCACAAAAGAGTAGCTGTCTTTGGCAAGAAGTCCAGGCCTTGGCCCTCTCTGTCACCTCCGGCCCATCTCGCTCTGTCTCATGAAGTGGATGTTGTTGGCGCTGTCCGACAGTTCTGGGTACTGCTCAACAGAGATCACGAAGAAGCCGTCATAGCCTTGCACCCGCCCTGTGCTCAGCACCTGCTGCTTCTCCCCCTCTGTCCAGGCCCGCAGGCCTTCCTCCCCTTCCCGCAGTCTCTGCTGCTCGCGGGCCCACGCCTGGCGCACGGCTCTCTGCCGGGCTAGCTCCAGGACCCGCGCCTTCTCCTCGTCCAATGTTGTCCCGTAGCGTGTGTTTAAGCACAGTGCCCCGTACTGGAGCTGGATGTCTGTGTAGCGTCTAGTCCTGCCATTAAGCATTGTGTTGATCTGGGACACAGTGACGTTGACCCCATTCTCCAGGGTTCGCCGCCCCCCACTGAGGCCCAGGATGGCCAGGTCACCTTCTGAAGGCCCTGGTTTCACAAAGTAATGGGTGTCCACCCCATCAATGGTGAAGTGCAGGTTCTCTAGGTAGTGAGCATTGTTCAAGATGGCAGCAACCCTTCGCCCATCCTCGTTGGCCACACTGATGATGTCTGTGTTCACTCGACCATCCTTTAAGGCGAACTTGACCCCCTTGCCAAAGACTGAGCCGCTGGATGCAAACTTCTTGGTCTTTGGGGCCTGCTGGCAGCTGGTGATCGTGGAGCCATAGAGCTGGTCAAAGCGTTCTAAGGTGACGAAGGCCTTGAGCTGCTTCTGTACTTCACACTGTACCCCGAGGATAGACTGATGGGGGAGAGTGAGAGACAGAGTAAGACAAAGGGGAAAAACCCTGAGAGCCTGGAGAATCAGCTTAAATAATGAAGTCAAAACCACACATATTTATTAACCTGCGGCATGTAGCTCTACTGCTGACCACCAGAACATCCAGGTGGTCACCAGAAGGTCAGAACATCTGCTGACCTTCATCCGTCCATTCACCCACCCTTCTATTTAGAAACTGTTCATGGGGCATCTAATCCATGCCAGATCCTTTTCTGAGCACTGGAGACACAAAAATGAATCAGACATCATCCTTGCCCATAAAGAACTCATCATTTAGTGGAGAAAGACAGACATGACAACAATAATCGCCATCAAATGTGATCACTGGCGGCCTAAGAGAGGAACTAGTAATAGCCATAGCTAACATTTCTTGATGTTTGAGCCAAATAATTACCACTGATGATCTCAGTGATCTTCACAATCACTTTATATGGTAGGTGCTGTTATTATTCCAATTTCAGGTCTAAGGAAACTGAGGCTCAAAGAGGTTGTCACTGGTTCACATACAACTAATGACAAGTCAACATGCAAACACAGGTCTGTCCAATTCTAGAAATTCAGTTGCAAGGGCCGCTGGAGCAGGAAGGAGCAAACAAAGCTGAGAAGACTCTTGGCCTGAAGGTGGAGGAGGTGAGGATTGAGGGCAGGCTCAGGCTTGAGTTAGGACCTGCAGGATGGGTGGCGGTGGGAGGGTGCTGTCAGATGGAGGAATGGCAAGAAATGCAATCTTGGCAAGAAGGTATAACACGGTGAGAGTCAGTGATTGGGTGTTTACCCTCCCACCCTGCTTCACTGCTCTCCACTGCATTTACGTCTCAGTTCCAAGGAGGGCCTCTGCCCCACCGCGCTTCCTTGGGGTTCCTGGGGTGCTCCTCCTCTTGGCTGCTTTGGGGGACAGATTGGGCCCTGCCAGCTTGGTGTATCATCTACCTGTCCCTCCTGTGGCTCAGGGAGCTTGGAGAAGCCACACTCAGGAAGGCTCCAGGGCCTTATCAGCAAGTTAGGGAAATGGCTTTAGCAACAGGCCCATCGGCTTCTCACTGAAATTAAGTCCTCTTTATAATTAATAGAACCCTGTCTGTGAACAATTATTTCCTAGAGTTTCACGAAAGCTAGAGTGCTCAACAACAAAGATCTCCGATGCTTGCCAAGGGCAGAAATCAATAATTCATTGACAGGCAAGGCTGGCAGACAGGCAGTCAGAGACTGGGGCTCTCTGGAGTGCAGAAAAGAGCCTGGTGGGGGAGGAAGAGCTGTGCTGCAGTGCTCAGCCATGGGAAGGGCAAATACCAGGACATCTGGGTGGGGCCTGGGGGCAGTGGGAAGTGGAGAGGGCCGGGGCAGCAGAAAGATGATGGGCTCTGGGGTCAGGCCGACTTGGGTTCTCCATCGCATTCTGCTGCTTTCCAACTCTGGTCCCCTCATCTGTAAAATGGGGAAATGTCTGGGCTGTTTACTTCTTTCAGCCATTCATTTATTTAGCAAAAGTGTTCCATGCATCTATTGTGTGCTATCCTGTATGCTGGGTACTAAATGAGACCCAGTACTTACCCTCTTGGGGCTCATAATCTAGAAGAGAGACAAGAAAGAGGCATTCAAATACAGTGTGGGAAGTGCCACCAGCATACAGGGGAGCAGAATCCCATTCTCCAGGGTCTGTTAGGAGATAGCTGTGCTGAGGCCTAAAGGAATCAGTCTGGAGTAAGAAATAGGGATGTGAAAGCTTCTGACCACCAGCAGCATGCCATCTGGCAACCCTGCTTTCCTCCTTAGTCTGTCATCCCCTGGGCAAGCATCCTTGAAGGCTTGGTCTCTGCCTGATTCATCCCTGTGTTCACTGGGCACAGCATGGGGCTTGGCACAGAGTCGGCTTCTCATGGAGAATTCATGAATGGATTGGGGTAGTGGGGAGGGGAGAAATGAGCAAATGAATGCATGACGTGAGCGGGTGGGATGAGACTGTTTTTAAAGACCTTTCCAGCTATATAATTCTGAGTCTTTGAAATTGGGTTATAAAAGCAAGACAAGAGAAAGTGAGTCTTTTTGAGCACCGACAGTATGCCAGGCACTGTTCTCAGCTAGAGGATACAGACAGGCACATCTGGGTTTGAATCCCAGCTCTACCCCTTACTTGCTGTGTGGCAGTGGGAAAGCCTCAGGCACCAATCTGTAAAATGAGAACAATACTGCTGTGGGATCTTTGTGAGTTACACAGAGTAACTCACATAAGGCCAGGTGCATTGAACTGCTCGGAAAATGTCATATTTTTATTTAGAACCATCTTTTCTCCCTGCACTTTTGTTCTGGATAGTGACAAAGGCTTATTATTTTTGTGGAACTCCAAACTCAGTGCAACACACAAAGCTCCTCACTGCAGCTTGTAAGTATCTGTGTGTGGTCATGGCTGCGCCCCCAGCAGCTCCCTGGTGGTGAGGTTACTAAGCAGTTGTTGAACAGTCTGCCAGGCACTGTGGAGGCACCACACTGGTATCTATCACTGGCCCACACTTTTCTGAAAAGCTGAAGGGACCCCCTCCTGTAACATCTGAGTGTCCTGAGGAGTAGCAGCTTTGTGCAGGAATTACCTTGCTGTTGTCCCACTCCTGGGTTTTCATCTGTGTGTGGATGAGCTCGTAGGAGGGTTCCATGGCATCCATGTCTGGTTTGGGATAACCAGGGATCACGTTGTGTAGCTGGAATCCAAAGGTGAGCAGCCAGCTGTTAACATCTGGATGGGAGGGAAGCAGAAACATCTCCATGGATTAAGTGGACCTCAGATGCCACCCGTCCCCATCACACAGCCTAGAGTTAGCTGCAGGGGGTGGTAAGGGTGTGGATTGCTGCTGGTGGGAGACTCAACTGCTATGTACACTTTGGAAAATGGTTTCACTCTATGAAAGCCAATGTACTCCTGGGACCCAGCGATCCCCATCCTAAATATATACCCAAGAGTGATGACACTAAAATAGAACCTAGGTTTCCAGATTTCCTTTTCTATTTTCACTTTAACTCCCAGGACCTTTGGCTTCATACCCAGGGGCAGCTGTTGACAGATGAAGATCCCTCCCTTTCAGCCCAACATCCATAGGAGACATTTAGAAAGGACATCCAGACCCACCAAAAGGAAAGATTTTCATGACTGACTTGTAAAGAGACAATTCACTTAAGAAATACTCCCCTACTGTCCCATCCCCTGGTGCAGTGATTAGAGCTTCAGGGTCAAAGTCCAATGGGTCACAGAGATGGCTTAGGCTGAGATCAGAGAGTCTTCCCTCTGCTTCTACCTTTTATTTACTCTGACAGCCCAAGGATGCCACAACCTCCCTGTGCCTTCATTTTCTCCAAGACATGTGGAAATGAAGAGGACCAGTCACCTGGCCCGCTGTTGCTGAGGGTCTTCTATGTGCCCAGGACTGTGTCATTCAGACCCTCATCTTGCATACTGAGAACCCTGAAGGAGAGATGAGACATGGGCATGAATAACTTTGATACAAGGAAAAAGATTAGAGGAACGCGGAAGCCTTTCATTTAGACAGGCTGGCCAATACCACATGCAGAAGGTGGCATTTAAGCCAGACACTGAAAGCTGTGTCATTTTTGTCAGGCACTGGCAGAGATGAAGTGGGCACTTCAGGCAAAGATGACTGTACAAGGCAAGGCCTAGAGAGGGAAGGTGTGGGTGCAGGGAGTGTTCAGTTAACCAGAGAGCAGCTCAGCAAGGCTGAGAACGAGCCAGAAAGGATGACTGTGGCTGGAGCGAGAAGAGCCTCAGATGGCAGGTGGGAGGCAAACTGGGGCCAGAGGGAGACAGACAGCCAGACAGACAGCCAGACACAGATAGACAGACAGCCTGTGTCCCAGCATGGATCAGCCTTCCTCAGAAAGGCATAGCTGAAGATGCCGAAGCAGATGTCAACTAGGGACTAAGAATCCAAAGTCTTGGGGAGGCAGGATTTTGAGTTCAGCCTCAGAGCCAAGCCTGACTTTGGCTTCTTTCCAGTGGAGCTAGAACTCTGATCACAGAGGTCCTGTTTAGGTTCTAGGCTGATATAGTTAGAATATTTGTCCCCTCCAAATCTCATGTTGAAATTTGATCCCTAATGCTGGAGGGGGCCTAGTGGGAGGAGTTTAGGTCGTGAGGGCAGATCCCTCATGAATGGCTTGGTGCCCTCCCCGAGGTAATGAGTGAATTCTTACTCTATTAGTTCATGCAAGAGCTGGCTGTTTAAAAGGGTGTGGACCCCTCCCTTCCCTCTTGCTCCCTTTCTCACCGTGGCCACACTGGCTCCGCTTGCCTTTTGTCATGAGTAAAAGCTTCCCGACACTGAGCAGGTGTGGGTGCCATGCTTATATAGCCTGCAGAACTGTAAGCCTAGTAAGCCGCGTTTCCTTATAAATTACCCATGCTCAGGTATTCCTCTATGGCAGCATAAAACAGACTAAGACACAGGTATAGGCAGAATTGCCACCTGCCACCTACTGAGTTCATCCTATTGGTGGGAATGATCTGTGTCCCTGTCACCACTGGGTCCCATGTTGCTACCCCATTCAAGACCCTCATGTTTGGCTTTGTTTTTGTTTTGTTTTCTGGTTGTCCCAGGCAGGGCCCCTCTTGAGTGTGCAACCTGGTGGCACTGAGGTGGAGTGGTGGTAGAAAGGGAAGTTCGGAGCCAGGTTCTACTTCTTTCAGCCTTACTAGGCAAAATCATAGAAGGGAAAGAACACCGCAGCTGAGGCAAGGCAAACCCAGGTCCAAATTCTGGCTCTTCAACTTACAAACTGTGTGAACTCGGACAGTTTACTTAACCTCTTCGAGATTTAGTTTCCTTATCTGCATATTGACAATAGAAATGGTTTTAACCACACTTTTCTGGAGAAGAATAAAAGTGTTACCATTTGGGGGCAGTTATGTGGCAAGAACTATTCTAAGTTTATACCTAAGTTACTGGATTTAATGTTGCCCAGGCTGGTTTGGAACTCCCGGGCTAAGCAATCTGCCTGTCTTGGCCTCCTAAAGTACTGGGATTGCAGATGTGAGCCACTGCGCCTGGCAGATTTAATGTATTTTGAATATAGCTCAGTGCCTGGCTCACAGAAGATTTTCTCTATTTTCCCCCAACCCATGATTCTACATCCCAGGACCTCCATTTTCTCATCTGTAACAGAAGGAGCTTGGACTAACTTTTCTTCAAAGTCCCTCTTCTTACTGAGTTTTTAAGAGTCTTTGATTCTATAAATCTTGGCAGATGGTTCTTTGGGAAATTAAAACAAACAGAACAGGAGGAAAAAACACCCAATAAAGCCATTTTGCCTGAGGCTAAGAACTTGCATCTGAATTTGTAGTTGCAAAAGCAAGCTTCTATAAGGAATACTGCAAATTCTCAGGAAACCAGGGGGCTGAGAAGAGGGCTGGGCCTTAATTACAAGTGATGGAAGGTGGAAAATTTTCCAATTATGCCTTTAGGAAAAATGCTGAAATTGAATTTATTCATACATTTTTCTACAGTGTTCTTCTGAAGAGCTGGGAATTTTACTCTTTCTTCTTACCATATCAGAAGTAGATATTTCCCTCAAGTTAAAAATTCCTCTTTACCAATTCATCATAGAATTTGGTGTTGTCACAGGTAAGTGATAAAATGTAAGCAACAATAATCTTTCTTTTTTTTTTTTTGAGACAGCGTCTCATTCTGTCACCCAGGCTGGACTGCAGTGGCACGATTTTGGTTCACTGTAACCTCTGCCTCCCAGGTTCAAGTGATCCTCCTGCCTCAGCCTCCTGAGTAGTTGGGATTACACCACGCCCAGCTACTTTTTGTATTTTTAGTAGAGACAGAATTTCGCCATGTTGGTCCTGAACTCCTGGCCTCAAGTGATCTGCCTGCCTTGGGCTCCCATAGTGTTGGGATTAATGGCGTAAGCCACTGCACCTGGCCAATAATCTCTTTCATGTATGCAGTTTTGTTCTTTACAAAGTGTATTTGAATCCAAGAATGAGGGTTTTGGGATCAGAGCAGAGTTCTAACCCAGCCTTGCCACTTGTTAGTGGGCCATTTTTAAGCTCTGTGAACCTCAGAACCTCACTTTCCTCCTTTGTAAATGGGGTCAGAGATCCCATCTCACAAGCATCAAGTGAAGATTGAGTGCAATGATGTACACGATCTATCTGTAGTAGACATTCTTTGGTTGCCTTCCCAGCATCCCATTCTGCCTTCTCTTTCCTTTCTGGAGTATTAATATAATTTTAGCGAAGTTGACTCCACCTAAGGGGTTAACATGGGACCTAGGCTAAGCCAATCAGTGCATTCTTTCTCTTCAGCCACAAAGTGCTTACGGGACTGTCCTGTGACCTAAGCCTGTCTCAGTGGAATACATCTCAGGACCCTTGAAAAAATTTTTGGGAAAAAAAGATGGTCTTTTGTTGTTATTGCTGCATGTGAATGAAGATGTAAGTAGTCCACCTAGATGCTAAGATGTAAGGACTGGTAAGAAGTAATAGTATCTTGGTTCCTATTAGTGATTGCAAACCTTTTTACATTTGCTAAAAGCTTAATTGCTTATATGAAATCTCTTCTTTGCACACCATGAATTTTCTAACTGTGGGATATGACCCACTATGTAGTGAAATCAATTTTGTGAATCATGACCAGCATTTTTATTGAAATGGAACAGAACAGACCAGACTAGACTAGAAAATGAGTGCATCACACTCAAGTATTCCTTTGCAAACCTTTTGTCTTAGTATTTTACTGCAATGGAAAATCTTTTTCTTATGGTGGGTTCACAGTCAAAGAAATTTGAGAAAAGCTATCTTGGACCCTGTGATCTATGAAGGTGGGTATTATACCTCACTCCTCTCTGGATCCTTAGTACAGGTTTGGCATGGACTAGGTATAAATAATTACTATTTGCTGGATTTAATTGACTGGAATATAGAACCCAAAAGGAAAATGTCAGGTGCTTCTTGGTGGTTGGTTACTTTGTTAGAAGCTGCCTTTGGAGGCCAGCATGATAGCAGTGGAGGGTGTCCTGGAGTCGGAGGGCTGTGGATTACAGTCCTAGCTCCGTGGTTATATCCATGTGACTTTGGGCAAACCCTTCATTGGACCCTCAAACAACATTTGGAGTCTCATCTGCAGAATGGAGATAATGATGGTGATCTCACAATCGTTGCAAAGTTTAAAGGAGAGCATATCTGCCAAGTGCCAGATAGCACAGAGTTAGTCATGATAGTGCTATTCTGGAAAGAGACCATATGTATATGGTGGTGTACAAAGAAAAAGGAGGAGGGAGTAATATTTTGGCAAGATGCAACGATTTTTTTTTGATAGAAAAGTACATTTCCTATTGCACCATATTTTTTTCAGCTACAGTAACCTGCCAAGACATCTCACAGGAAACTCATTGGAGGGTGAGGCAGGGGGTGTGCTTAACGCAGACAGATGTAATGGAAATGCCATCTCAATCTGTCAAGTTTCTCTAGAACTAGCAGCCAAGTTGAGCATGGTAAAGGCTGTGAAACACTGTTAGGATATTCATGTTTATCCATAGGCCCCAAGTCTGTTTTCATCACACCTGTCCACCACCTTGTTCTCCCTTCTTTCCTATGCTTGGGATGCCTGCTCTCAACATGTGACAATGTGGAACTCTTCTTGAAAAAGGAATCCTCTTACTGCTGTCAGCAGAAACAGGGTCCAGGTGGGGGCCACCAAGTTTGGGAGCTGGGAAGCCACGTCTGTAAGGGGCATTCACGCGAGCTCTCATGTTGCCCCTTTACACTTCTATATTATATGTGCTGCTTTCTCTCTCTGGAATGTCTTTCTCCCCCATTACCTGGTGAACACCCACTCAGGAGCTGGCCTCAAATGTCAGCTGCTTTGTGAAGACTTCCCAGAACTCCCTGGGAAGAGCAGGTGGCTTCAGTGGCCATCTGTGCAAACCTTTGTCATGGTCCTCCCCTCTTGGCAGCAGTTGCCTGTCTCTTTTCTTTCAGTGAGAATTCCTGAAAGGTAGGGATCATCTTTCTATCCCCAATGCCTAAAACAGTGGCTGCACAGAGAAGGCACTTGTAGGATGAAGGAAACTGCCGCAAAAGGGGGCAAGAGGATTGAATCGCAAGACAAAAGAGGGGAGAGACTGCTGACTTTGCAAGTTGGGAATTTTTGCCTGCCACAAACTCTTACGTAAAAAGTGTGGGCTTTACCCAAACCCCCATCCACTTTCTGTGGGGTTGGGGGCCTCGGTGGCAACTTGGGACTAGCTGCTTGCTGGGAGGGCTGTGGCTGCTGGAGACATCCCTGCCTGTGGGACCCTAGGACACTTTATACTCAAGTTGGTTTCACCGTAGTGGAAGGCAGAGCTCACTTTTCCAGTCAGAGGGTAAAGGAAAGGGAGCCAACATGAGCCAGTCGCTATGATAGGAGCCTCATAACATGTATTTCATTTTACCCTTGCAACCACCTACCAGGGAAGTAGGTGTTAGTTTCCATTGTTCCACATGTTCCTTGTTCTTTTTCCCCTCTTTTCCTGCCCTCTTTGGATTGTGTATTTTGTCAGTCTTGTATTTTACCTCCGCTGTTGACTTATTAGCTAGGACTCTTTTTAAGTTATCTTTCTGGTGGTTTCTCTAGGGTTTATAATACACATATTTAACTTACTGGAGTCAAGGTAGATATTCTCACTTCAATTTACATATCAGGAAACTGGAATTCAGGGCAGTTAAATAATTTTTGTAACATGTCATAGCTTCGAAATGGTAGATCTTTCACTCAGTTCTTACATCATCCCAAATTGAAAACTCTTTTTTTTAAAGGCATACCTTAACCCAACTTATCAAGGACTCGTAAACAGCTTGATCTGTGTGTCACAAACTCCTAAAGTACAATCCATGGGATGTATCCAATGAGATATTAGGATTTCATGGTGATAAAAGGGCTTTCATTGTCAAAGAAGTTTGAGAAATAGTGGGTAAATATGTTAAATAGTCCATCTTTCCAGCACTTCCCAGATCTTATCATAAACTGGAATGTACTATGAAAATGTGATATGCTGGTGACCCTGACAAATTTATTTGATGCTGGAACCATTTTTCCAGAGTATTTTCTGAACTAGTGTTTCTTCAAATGGACTTTGGAAAATGCTGCTGAGAGAAAGTCAATGTTTCCTGTCACCTTATGCCAGCTTTCTCAAGGAAGACTAAGTCTTGTTAGGTAGCCAGAGCACTTTATGGGGTCCCACCCTGAGTGAGCCATGAGCCTTACCTGTCATGAAGCACTTGATGTCCTGAGAGTTGCTGATGGGGTTGTTGTTTTTAAACATGTAGAGGTTAAAAGGCATGATGTTGCTGCTACTAAGGTGCTTCCACAGCTCGTGGTCTGGGCTAGTCCAGCGTCCAGCCAGCACATCGTAATCTCGCCGGCCCATGTGGACAAGCTTGGTGAGTGGATCATAGAGGCCACCGTGGTAGCCTATGATGATCTGAAAGTTGGGGTTGGTGTCCATGTAGATCTCCCCATAGGCTGTGTATAGGATTTGCTTGATCATCAAACCTGTTCCACTAAAGACAGCAAGAGGAGTCCCGATATTGTCACAAGCTATGTAAAACTCGTCACCACTGCTCAGCTCCATGGCAAAGAGGTGTCCTTGCAAGTCATAGTAGAGGGAGGTGATCTCCGAGCTGGAGTGGTTGTAGAGGTGGGTGACCTTGGTGGGGCTGGTCAGGTCTGCATAGAAGAACTGCAGGTGGTGGCCGTGGCTGCTCTTGCTGGACACCCGCCGCCCCAGGCCGTCGTAGCGGTACCTGACGCTCCAGCTGCCAGCCCGGTTGTAGGCCTTGATGAGTAGGCCAGCTGAATTGTACTCAAAGATATCACCACCCCGCTGCCTCAGGAAGCCATCCTCGTCCATCCTGTACTGCACGTCACCTAGCCGAGTGATGCGGTCGCGGAGGTCGTACCGTAGTGGTGTGAGCCGTGCACTGTTCCCAGGGCTCAGTAAGTGCAGGTTCCCATTGAGGTCATAGCTGTAGCGCCAGAGTGGTTTGTCGTTGATGGAGACTGTCTGCAGTTGGCCATCGGCATCGTACTCATAGGAGTAGCGGGTGGTATTGGCGTAGGGTCCTACCTTCAGCTCCTTCTTCACTACTCGCCCCATGTTATCATACTGGACAGTCATCCAGTACATGAGTGAGCGGAAGATCTCATACTGCACCTCCTTCATCCTCCCATATGCATCAAAATGCTTGGTGTGGGTCATAACAGCTGTGGTGATGATCTGGTTAATGTCATAGTAGATGACACCAAACTTCCCAAACTGCTCCGTCTTGCCTGACACATCATCATAGCGATAGAGATCGATGGGCAGTGGGGTCTCGTTGATCACAGCCTGCATGCTGGTCACCCGGAAGCTGTTGTCATAGTTGTAGTCAAAACGGGCGTTGACCATGCCTTCCTCAGTGAAGCGGAAGATCTGCCGGTCGATCAGGGGCCCGATCTGACGGTAGCGGATGGTGCAGGTGAAGCCCTCGTTCTGCAGGTTGATGGTCTTCAGCATGCCTGCCGTTTCGTCATAGGTAAAGCTGACCTTGGTGGTGTCGTACAGTGTCTCCGCCAGCTTCGACAGTTTGCCATACTTGTATATCACCCTACGGCCGGTGCCCAGGTAGAAGGTGTGGAGGAGCTGCCCATCCTCAGTGAAGTCCTGTATGACTGAGGCATTGCCCTCAGGGGGCTGGTAGATGTTTCTGTAGTACCCTACTGAGCGGATGGTCTCCAGCGTCTGCCGCGCCACGTTGGGCATCGTCACAGAAGAGAGGCGGTCATTCTTGTCGAACTCAAAGATATACTGCCTCTGGCTGTGTAGTAGCAGCACCATGGACTGGAGGGAGAGGAAAACCAAGAGATGAGAGGAGGGTGGTGAGGAGGAAGGGTAGGGCTACATACCCGAGACTTAAAGGGAAGGAATGAACATCCAGGAAGAATCTAGAGTTTCCACAGTTCTCTTGAGTTATGCTCCAACCAGAGCTTTCCAACAGGAGTGCCACAGGATACTATACAAATAGGTTACAGATGTGCTAAGATGAGGCTTTCTCTCAGCCTTTGGCCCTGGCAAGGCCTAGGCCTCCAGATACTCAGGCCATTTGCTGTCCTATGGTGAGTAGCCTCATGCATTTGCCCCTTTGTGCAGTACAGACCTGGTTACTTTCGTGTGTGGTGGGGCGTGAGGATGTTCGAGAAGCCGTGGCCTGAAATATGTACAGCAGTCTCCCTCCTGGCTTCCTTGCCCCAGACTTCTCAAACCAATCTTCCTACTCAGACAAGAATGAGCTCCCCCAAACACAGTCTGACAATTTCTTTTACGGACTAAACAGCTCCTGCTGACTCCCTGTGGCTTACAGCATGAAGACTATATTTGAGAAGGGCATTTAAGCTTTTGCACAATGACAGGTTGTATGTCTACTCTGCGTAGGGCAAGCTGTGATGGGAATGGGAGAGCCTGGTTTCTAACAATGGATTCCTTGTGTGGCCCTTGGAAAGTTCTTCCCCTTTATGGGTTTGGCTTTTCAGTATGTTGGATGACCTCTAAGGTCTCTCTTAGCACTAGCACAGAACATCACTTTTGGGGATACTCACCCAGCACTGGGTAGGGGAGACTCACCTCAGAGCAAGCAAAGCCTAGGCCCTAGATGAACCCCAGGTCAGGAAATGAAGCAGGGATCTGGGTACTAGAACTGGGCATGAAGTGCACTTGTTCTCAGGAAAAGATCAGCAGATAATAGGCCTAGAGGCTTTATGCTGAAAAGCTACCATTTTCTCCAACTGGAGACCAACTTTTGATTTTGGGTCATTTCTGATTCTTAGCCCTTGGGATGAAAAGAGTTCTGACCCATAGCAGAATAGATTTACTACGGCCATGCCCAGCTCTTGAAGCTCAGGAGTAAATGCCTCCTGCCTAAGTGCTCATCTCTAGGCTTCTGCCTGGTTCTCCATGAATGGATTGTATCATGTGTCCTAGACCTGGAAGCAGACCCGTGCCCTGGGTCTGAACCCTGAGTCCTGCTCTGCAAGTCCAGTGAGTGTTTGGGCCTCTACTCTATCAGGCAGGTCTTTCATGTTCTCCTGCCCTAGGACCACCACCTGCCATGCCACTACCATGATCCATCCAGATAACTTTTGGGATCTTCTGCCCTCTGGCAGATTTTCCTGAACATTTCCTTTTGGAGACATGGGTCAGATATAGCCCACTGAGGTCACCAGGCTGGGCCTGGCCATGAATGACTGGCCTTCTGTATGGCATGGCCAGTGATGGAGGGAGACAGACACCTGCCTTCTCTAAGTATGTGTAGCTCCATGTTTTCCCATCAGCGAAGATCCTGGACGTGATGCGGCCTGCCTGGTCATACTCCATTCTTTCAGACATGATGCCTCTCTGGATGCCAGCAATGTGACCCCCAGGGGAGTATGTCACATTGACACCATTCAGCCTGCTGCTGGGTGACCAGAGGCTGGGCCGCCCTGCCTGGTCGTACAGGATCCGAAGGGTGAACTTGCGGTGGTCATCATAGATCTTCTCTGTGCGTGTTACGCGGTCAAAGTCCAGAGACAGGAGATTTCGGTTGTGAACCTGAAGAAAGGGTAGGAAGAGAAAATTAATCTGGACCATGAGAAGTTTGGTCTGATGGTCCACGTGGCTCTCAGCTCTGCTGGAAAGCTCTTGAGTAGAGGCAGGAGCACAGGTCCTGTGCAGCAACAGACATGGGTTTGAGTCCCGGTTCTGTCATTTGTCAGCTCTGTGAAGTTTCCTCACCTATAAAATGGGAATAATAATGCATAGGGCTGCTGTGAGGATGAAGACAGTGCGTATGTTGTACAAACAGTAGCTGTGACCAAAGAGGATCTGCATGTTTTCTAATGTGATTCTTCTAATGAGGACACATTTTAAAAGGCAGATCCTCCCTGCTGAAAAGAGACCCACCAAATGAGCCCAGCAAATAAATGATCCATCTATTCCACACCAGACACCGAGGAGACCAAAGCCCAGGGAGGTGAAGGGATTTACTCCAAATCTCGGGGCTGGTGAGTGACGGAGTCTGGACTTGACTTTCACCCCTGCAACGTGACACCAAACAGTCTCTCAGTGGTCCTCTGAGCAATTCCAGCCTTCTGGGGGCTCTGGACTTCCCAGCTCCTCTGGGGTGTCTCCTGCCTTGCCACTACAATTAGGGCTTCTTGACTGCCACTGTCAGTACCCAAGACGTCTTCTTCCCAGAGGTGCTGGGAGGTAGTGAGTGTTTGACACTGGGGTGGCTCTTCTGCTGTGGGCTGAATGGGGTCACAGTCCTAGCTTTGAGGCACTTTGTGCCAGCCTTCAGGATAGGGAGTACCTCGTATAAACTCTACCTGGGCTGCTAGGTCAGCACACAGTTCAGTTTCCTTTCAGCGTCAGAGACAGGACTCCCATAGACATAGTGGTAAGTCACAGTTTTTATATTTTAATAAAGAAATATACTTCAGGGCCTGTTTCTATATTTGGATCTGCCCTGTAGGCACTGGCTGCCCCTGAAACACTGCCAGATATTCCGGAGCTAAAATAATGGTTCCCGCTAATTGGTATCTGTCCTGATGGGACATCTGTCTCTTATGGCACATTTTCTGTCTCTTCCACTAGTCACTGCATAAGTAGTAAGTAGTAGGAAGGAAGTAGTAAGGAAGACCCAAGAGGAAAACAGATAATTAGGTCACATGATGTAAAATGGCATGTGTGGACCGAGGCAACGAAAGGCCCTCTGGAGCTCTGTGTGGTTTAAAAAAATGGGTCCAGCTCTAGGAATGAAGGCCAGGATTCTAGCTACAACTTTGTGACCAACTTTTCTATTGACCTTGAGATCTCTGAGTCTCAATTTCTTACTCTGTGTAACAAGAGTCATTGTGAAGGGTGAAGAAACTTAGTAAATCAGTGGAGTGCTAGGCACATAGAAGATACTGAATAAATGGTTGGAATTATTTCCGTTAAATGACAGCAAACAATCATGGTCATATCCCAGGAAGGTGAGATGTGTGTCTCCCCTTTCTCCCATACAAATTCTAAGGCCTTGAAAATAAAGATTTATAATGAAGATGCTAACTTTAGCGGTGAATGGCCTGGTTATAATAAGGTTCCCTTCCCTGGGGTAATCAAACACAATTGCAGAAGCAAAAACAGTGTGGCAGATGATTCCCGTGAAAAATCAGAGGTGCTGGAGGCTGAAGCTGTGTTCTTTGCAGAGAGGGCACAGGAAGATACAGGGGCTGTGCCACCAACAATGACAGAGGCATTTTTAAAGTATCTTTTGGAAGGTTCCCCTATGACTCCCTCAGGGTGGTGCCACCCAGCTAGCTGCCCCCCTTTATCCCTGGAGGATCTCTAGTGAAGGGGAGCTGTACCTTTTTGGAAAAATTAATAAAATTAAATTAAACAGCTCACTGGGGAGCCAACTAATGCATCCTGTGCTCGGCAGTGGCAGCAATGAGATTGTTTCACCTCTTTCTTTATTGAAAAAGTTCCCAGTTGTATAAAAAATGAGCTCCATTATGAGGAGGCACACCCGGCAAACATTCTAATTCCACCTGCCGCCACTGTGGGTGGCCATTTCTTTGGGAGGACACGTAGACGTGGCCACCCAACTAGAGCACCATCAATCTCAGGCTGGGAGAGGGACCAATTAAAGCCTGGGAAACTTTTGGTCCAGTTCACACAGCAGAGAGGAAGTCCTAATCATGCTAATCGCTGCCATTTATTGAGCACCTGGAGCCTACCAGCACTGGGCTAGGTGCGTTGAATGTATTATCTTTTTTTTTTTTTTGAGACGGAGTTTCGCTCTTGTTACCCAGGCTGGAGTGCAATGGCGCGATCTTGGCTCACTGCAACCTCCACCTCCTGGGTTCAGGCAATTTTCCTGCCTCAGCCTCCTGAGTAGCTGGGATTACAGGCACGTGCTATCATGCCCAGCTAATTTTTTGTAGTTTTAGTAGAGACAGGGTTTCACCATGTTGACCAGGATGGTCTCAATCTCTTGACCTCGTGATCCACCCGCCTCGGCCTCCCGAAGTGCTGGGATTACAGGTGCGAGCCACTGCACCCGGCCCTGAATGTATTATCTTGTTTCTGCGGAGGCACCTGTGGCTCAGAGAAGCTGCTCAAGGCTCCACATGGCACAGGCAGGAGTCAAACCCAGGTCAAGCTTCCCACTGAGGACACTGCCTCACTTAGAGGTGCATGCAGGGCTCTATACTAATTCAGACGGGGAGGTGAGGAGGGTGAGGGGGATAGAGGGGTAGGCGGGGGCTCAGTGAGGCTGCGGAGAACAAAGACGGCTAGGCCTTCCTCAGGCATCTAGTGAAAGGCTGTTTCCCACAGTGGATAGTCACTAGAGCTCTTGGCTGTTGAGGGAACAAACGAAGCCTGGTTTTCTGGGTTCTAGTTGTGTGATATTGGGTAAGTCACGAAATGTTTCTGTAGCTGCCGTGGGCCTATTTTCTAGTCTTTTTTTGAGACTGTCTTGCTCTGTCACCCACGCTGGAGTGCAGCGGGCACCATCTCGGCTCACTGCAATCTCCACCTCCCAGGTTCAAGCAATTCTCCTGCCTCAGCCTCCTGAGTATCTGGGATTACTGGTGCCTGCCACCACACCCAGCTAATTTTTTGTGGTTTTAGTATAGATGGGGTTTCACCATGTTGGTCAGGCTGGTTTCAAACTCCTGACCTCAAGCAATCTGCCTGCCTCAGCCTCCCAAAGGGCTGGATTACAGGTACGAGCCGCTGCGCCCGGTCTATTTTCTAGTCTTTACCACCACCTCACTATGCGACTCTGGAGAAATTGTTTACTCTTTCTGGATGTCGGTTGTGACATCTGTAAAAGAGGGGCTTCAGTGAACTTTCCTTGCTGAAGGGCAGGGGACCTAAGAGACACTGAGCTGTGTTGCTATGAGGTCGCTTCCGGAATGTTAGGAACACGTAGCTCAGTTCTGTAATTGGTTTCAGCTCAGCAGATATCTCCTGAGCACCCATGGTCTGCAAGGTGCTGTGCTGAAAGCCATGGCTAGTTTATTAACTTTCTCTCTGCCCATCACCTGCCTTTCTCAAGCTGGAGGGAAAAGAAGCTGGCCACTCGGGCCCTGGCAGAGGCCACACTGTGCAGAAACATGGGATGTGAGGCAGACAAGGAGCTGGTTCAGGGCATCCACATATTCAAAAACACTCTGAATGTCAGGCCACGATGCCAGCCCCGGCAGTGATGGTTTGGGTGAGGTCATTTTGCTCATTTAGGATGGGTAACTCTGCCTGGAACTAGTGGAGAATGTAGCTTAGGTTCAAAGTAGCTGAACTGAATTTTGGGACATGTTAGCAATAGTGATGATAATAATAATAAGAAGAAATAACAGCAATAACAACACTAAGAGTAGCTATTGACCACTTGCTGGAGTCAGACTCTATGATGCTTAATATATTACTTCTAATCTTTATAGCAACTTTTAAAATTAGTCTTGTTCTCCCCCATTTTTTTTTTTTTTTTTTTTTTGAGACGGAGTTTCCCTCTTGTTACCCAGGCTGGAGTGCAATGGCGCGATCTCGGCTCACCGCAACCTCCGCCTCCCGGGTACAGGCAATTCTCCTGCCCCAGCCTCCTGAGTCGCTGGGATTACAGGCACGCGCCACCATGCCCAGCTAATTTTTTGTATTTTTAGTAGAGACGGGGTTTCACCATGTTGACCAGGATGGTCTCGATCTCTTGACCTCGTGATCCACCCGCCTCGGCCTCCCACAGTGCTGGGATTACAGGCTTGAGCCACCGCGCCCGGCCTGTTCTCCCCCATTTTATAGATGATGAAATTGAGGCTCTAAGATTACTAATCTGCCCAAACTCACTCAGGGAATAAGCTGGAAATTCAACTCAGACCCATCTAACACCAAAGCCAGAAATCCTTCCACAAGTAAAAACGAAAAAGACATACAAGGGCCTCTGATCACATGTGGTTCCCTGCTTTAGTTCCCTCCTTTTGCAGATAAGTAAACTGAGGTCCCAGGGAATTTCAAGAACATAGCCCAGTTCTCCAGATTCACCCTCCTCCTTTCCCCCTAGGATGCGGCCGTTTCCAGAGGCCTTGCTCACCCGCAGCCGGCGCCCGAAGACAGTGACCTGGCCCCGAGCCTGCTCCTTGCGCTGCCTCCACTCCACCAGGTTGAGGCCATTGTCGATGGGCAGCGTGACATTCCTCTTGCCCACGGTGGGGTTGACAGTGCCAGCCAGCAAGTGGGGCTCGGTCTGTAGCGCCACCTCCATGCCGTTAGCCAGCAGCAGCCGCAGGGAGCCGTCGGCCCCGATGTAGTAGCTGTTCCGGACTTGGTCTGCAGGAGAGGACAGACACAGGCTGCTCAGAAGGAACGAAGGTGGAGGGAAGTGTGTGGAAAGTAGAGGCAGCGGTGGGGACTTTCAAGGATGCTTTTCCTAACTATGAAAGCAATATATCATCACTGAAGAAAACGAGGAAAATACATGGAGAAGACCATCCAGAATCTCAGTATCCAAAGAAAACCACTGTAAATATTTTATATATTTGTAGATTTTAAGAAATTTCCAAATGCCCTTACAGTTTAAAATAGGTGAGTTTTAAAACAGTTATAGAGTTTTCGCTGATCATTGTATTGTCACTGATTATTTTTATAAACATTTTTCTTAATGACCATACAATATTCTACTATATGAAAATACTACAAGTTATTTAACTAAGCCTCAAATAGATGTTCAATTTGATTCCAGTTTTCCACAATTATAAGTACCACTGCATATCAATATAGTTTAAACGTTATGCTAAATGAAAAAAGTCAGATGTAAAAGGCTACATATTGTCTGACTCCACTTATATGAACTGTCCAGAATAGACAATGATCTCTAGAGACAGTGGTTGCCAAAGGCTGAGGGGCAGGGGGAATGAAGAGTGGCTGCTAATGGGTTTGGGATTTCTCTTTGGGGTGATAAACATGTCACAGACATATGACAATGATTTAAATATTGATATGATTTGAAATTTTATATTTGATTTAAAACATTTTAACTTAGATTTTTAACTAAAGGAAACTTCTGGTGAAAAAAGTAAATTTCAGCTGTAAAATGCATATAGAGTTGCTTTCTACAGATGAAAATACTGTCTCTGGGTTTGCGCTACTCTCCTGTCTCTGGTCCTTCCTTGGCTGTTTCCTCTGCACCGCACCCCTCTTCAGTAAGTGCTGGCTTCAGACTCCCTCCAGGCTCTGCTAAAATGTCATCTCTTACCAGAAGCTTCCCCTGTTTCACTGGCCAGAATGTATGATTCCCTGTCCTGTACACCCCTTAGCCTCTCTATGGGCTTCCTCAATGGTCTTGCAGCTGAGGGGTGTGGGAATCACTGCTCCGTTAATGAACACATTCTCCAATATTTGAGTGCATGCTGTGAGAGGCACTATGGCACAGAGATTAAGAGCTTGGCTTTGGAGCCAGGCTACTTCGGCTCAGGCTGCAGCTCTGCTGCTGCCTTGCTATAAGACCTTGGCCAAATTCTTAACCTCCCACGCCTCTGGTGCTTCATCAGTACGCTGGGACAATAATTGTACCCTGCCTTGCAGGATGCTCTGAGGGTTGAGTGAGATCATGAATATAAAGAGCTGAGAACTGTACTTTGCATATAGTGTTATACAATTGTTAGCTGTCACTGGTTTTATGTGCCTGGCACTGTGCTAGCCACTGTCGTGTGTTTCTTGTCCCTCCTGTATCTCCATCATCCATTTTTTTTTTTCTCTCTCTCTCACACATACATACATAGACACACACTCACACACACACACACACACACATCAGGGTGAACTTCTCTAGTGCTGATCACGGCCCTGCAATAGGGCCTCCTTGCTTTTAGATTGGCAGTCAAGAGAATAGGTTCTATAGAGCCTGTTTGTCTGGGTCCAAATACCCGATTAAGTGTGTGACTTGGGCAAGCTACTTAACCTCTCAGTGCCTCTCACTTCCTTCATTCAGAAAAGGAAGACAGTAATACCTACCTCCTAGGCATATGGTGTACTGTATGAGGTTTCTTATGAGGTATTGCTTAATAGGACAATGTAAGATGCTGAAAATATGCTTTGTAGTTAATAAGTGCTCCAAAAATGTTAGCTATCATCATCATTAGGGTTGTATGTGCTCTGTAAATCTTTGCTGGATGAAACTGGTATGTTCCAGGCTACGCCAAGCACTAAAGACAGTTACTAATAAATAGTTTCATGGGAAAGCCTCACTGAAGCTTTTCTGCTAGAATGGCAACAAATAGGCCCCCCTTTCTCTTACTCTCTCCCTTTTCCATCTTTCTCTCTCACACATGCAAAATTCTAAAATCTGTTTCAAACTTGCTATGCATTATTCACTGACAATCTATATTTTTCTTCTTTTGAACACTGAAAAAGCCTGTGTTGATTTATCCTTTAAAGCTGCTCCTTGCTGAATCCACATATGTCCATTAATGGTGACTTGGAGGGAACAGCATCTGTACAGGCCCATCTCAGATGATCCCATTTAATGTGGGCTGTGACTTCCCAAGGCCGCTGCTCATTAGCAGCTACTTCTTATTACTTCCCACAGTTTAGACAGAAGATGAAACTGAAAGATCTTTTCACAAAGACTCTAGTGAGGCAGTTGCAAAACTGAGCCTGGTACTCAAGAAGAAAACAGCTTGGCAGAGTTACCAAAGAGGAAAAATAGGTACCATGTTTCCTGGATTCCAAGAAGTGCTTTTTCTTTTCACATTTTAATGGTTTTTTGAAATTGGAATGTGTCCATGTATGCCTCTTGAGCAGTGTGACTTTTTTCTCTCTGCCTAAAAAGTTGTTATTAAATTGATGGTGCATTTTAAAACTGAGGAATGTGGCACTTGCAAATTTTAAAAAGTTGCCCAAATATAAGAAAGCCTGCATGAACCTTTGAGAAAAATACTCACAACCAGTTTAGCAGTATGGAATGGATAGATACTTCTTAATCACAGGGAAGAAAACAGGCCTGAAGGACAAGATGTCAAAGTAATTGGTGGTCCTTGGTCAGGCAACATCTTGGCTGCCTTAGAAACTGTACCTTCTCTTGGCAATAATCCAGTCAGAGCATAAATCCCTGGGGTCAGTCCCAACCCACTTGTGATATTATGGTTATATATCCACAGTTCCTGGCACAAAACTCCTATAGCCCTGGTTACAGTCTTTTGTTACAATGGTGAGGCACTTCAGGACCCAGAAGCAGGCCTTAGGAAACGATCTCTCTCCCGTTCTCTCTGACCTTCTGCCCTCCTTTCCACAGCAGGACTCCAATCTGACTGTGAGTCATAAGACCTACATTTCAGAGGGGATCCCGCCTCATACCCTGGAGGAGGGAATGAATGCTGCACAGAGAGGCCAAGAAGAATCTAAAGAGACAGGCCTTGCTGGGTTTAGATCTTACCAATTTTGTCCAATCACATTTCCACATGGTTGTCAATCACACCTAGCCAATGAAGTCTCCGTAAAAGGCCCAAGAAGACACGGTTTGGGGAACTTCCAGACAGCTGAACATATGGAGGTCGTGGAGGGGTGAGGGAGATGTGCCTTTGGAGGGTGTGACAGCTCCATACCCCTTACCCTCTATCTTGCCCTACATATCTCTTCATCTATATCCTTGGTAATGTCCTTTAGAATCAACTGGTAATGTACGTATTTCTCTAGTTCTATGAGTTGTTCCACTAAATTAACTGAACTCCAAGAAGCAGTCATGAAAACCTTAACTAGAAGCCAGTCAGATAGAGGTTGCAGAGGCCCAGACTTGGGGCTGGTGTCTGAAGTGTGGTAGAGGCTGGGCAGTTTTGGGGACTGAGCCCTCAACCTGTGGGATCTGAGGCTATCTCCAGAGTTATGTTGGAATTGAATTGAGGGACACCCAGCTGTTGTCCACTGCAGAGCTCATTGCTTGCTTGGTGGTGGGGAGAACCCCACCCCTGCCTACAGTTGGTCACAGAAGTCTTCTGTTGATGACTGTTGCGTGAGAGCAGAGGAAACGTTGAGTTTTCCTTGAAAAACACGGTTAAAGGTGCTTGGTGGGAAGGAATTCCACTGTGTGGTTTCTTTCTTTGAGAACCTTTATTGTTCTTGGAACTCTTAGAAAGGCAAAGGACTAAATTTGGGAATAAAAGTCATTGTATGAATATACAGATATTTATTTTCTTATGGTAAGTTAAACTGCTTGCTAATTAATTAATTACTTAATGAATCCAATAGTACTGCTTATTGAGCAATACTGTGTGCTTGGCTCATGCTAGTCACTACACTGTCTAAAGAGATCGTATGAGCAGCCCTGTAGGGCAGGTGTTAAAATTCAGCCCCATTTCCCAGACCCAGAGACGAAGGCTCATAGAAGAAGAGTGACTCCAGCAAGTCCACACAGGTGGGAGGTGGCACGGCAGGCACAGGGCTCCGAATTGTCCACCCAGAACCCCTGCTCTTCTCACTGCTCCACCCCATTCCACACAGCTTCAACTTGCTTTCTTTTCCAGGAAAAGAAACCAAGGGACATGGTGGGTGATGTGGTGGCAGAGCTGGAATTAGAACCTGGGCCTCTGACTCTTAGTCTAGGCTCCTTTCACTGCTTTGTGTGAAAGCCTTTGGGAGTACAAGGAGCCATACAGTGGGCAGGAAAAAATCAGGCAGAGCTTTCCCTGGTGATGGCTTCTTTCTTTTCAAGCTTACTAAAGCCTACAAAGCTGCAAGCCCACCTGGGTCACCATATCCCATGGGAACAACTGAGGCAGATAATTCACAGCAAGATTTCATCGTCGTGAAATCTTTTTACTTGAAGCTAAAAGATCAACCCATAACAGGACAATTTGACAGATGCAGAGAAGAAGGGTCTCTTTTCTATATAATCCTAGAAGAGGCACAAACCTTCTCACCTGGGCTTTAGGAAGGACTTCTCCATAATCAAATCCCTTTCATAATTACGTGTAATTATTCTTGTCCTTTGTCCTCACCTACACTAGAGTGTGTGTCTGTTAATCTGGGAGTCATTAGGATGGCAAATAGTGAGGTCACCTGGATTAGCAGCTAATGAATTTTCTACCATTTGTTCTGATGATAACAGGATAGGACAATAAAATATTATTCTGAAGCTTCTGAGAGAGAATTTTACTTGACTCAGGGCTGGTATGTTTTGCAAATTAGGTGATAAGACAGAGAGTCGCAATGCTTTCCTGCTCTTGTGCAGCCCCAGCAGTAGCTTGTTTCTTGTGCCATTCTCCTCCAAAGGGGTCTCCCCACCCCCTGCCTCAAAGTCCCCTGGTTCCCACCCGACTTACCTTGCAGCAGTGTGTAGAAGGCACCTGAGGCAGACAGGTTGGTGGTTATGGTGACATCATCCTTGCTGGAGGTCTCTACCTGGACATGCACTGAACTGTCTGTATCACCTCGGAAACTGCTCACCTGGCCAGTAGGGAAGGTCACATTTGTCAGGCGGCCAAAGCTGTCGTACCTGGAAACCAAGGGGTGGCACTGAGTAGTAGAAATATAATGGTGCTCTAGCTGGAACGTGGTGCATTCTACCTCATGCCATGGTTTTGCTGTGCTCTCCTTTCCTTTCTGGTTGGATATATTCCCATGTCTCCCACATCTGTTGCATAGGACCTGGTACAGAGATTTCAGGATGTGACTCCACCTGCTGATATCCAGCTGCAGGAAAATGACTGACCCATCTGAGTCTCCCTTCCCTAACTCAAACAGTGGAGATGATACCACCGACCTGCCTACTGCCCAGGAGTGCAGCTATACACTGGAATTCAATTGTGAAGGGGTGAGATGATGGTGGTCATAATGAGATGGCTGACCCAGAATCTTAGAACTGGGGGACTCCCCAGAAATGATGTAGTCAAGCTTGATGCCTGAATACCCTCTGCAAAACTTGCAAGAACTGGTTACACAGGTTTTTCCTGAAAAACACTAGAAATGGGAGCTATTACCCAGGGGTTTCTACAAATCCTCAGGAAAAGGGATTCTGAATTCAAACCAGGACTCAGCCTAGATAAATGGTGTCTTACAACACCTTCCATTTAGATTTTACATCTGGCACTAAGCATTTTTGTATCTGCAACTCTTAGGACCCCACAGCTTTGCTCAGGAAGGGTCTTTCTAAAGCATCATAATTGAATTTTAATTCTCTTTACTATTCTCCTGATAATAATAAAAGAAAAACCTACCATTATTGAACACCTCCAATATATGAGGCATGGTGCTAGTTGCTTTTCATGAATTTTCATGTAATCCTCATTTAATACATTTTTCATGTAATCCTCATTTAATCCTAGTCTAAAAGGTATGTATTATCTCCTTTCTGGAGGATCAGAAATTGAGGCTTGGAAAAGTGAAGTCACCTGCTCAAGGTCATACAGCTAATTAAGTGTGGGAAGAATAAAAATTCAAACTCAGATCTGTTTGCTTCCAAGCTGCCACCTGCCTCTCTGTCTTCAATGAACACTTCTGTACCATCCATTTGCAAGTATTCATCACAAGCACTCCTCCTGGCAGGAGTGGGCTATTAACATTTTAATTATTGTTTTTAATTAGGGGAGGCTGAAGTGTAGACAGGCAGGCTTAAATAACCATTTGCATTTGTGTGTGAATGGGGACACACTTCTTCCTCTACACAGCAATATTCCTGACTTCCCGGACATGATTGACCTTGTGTACTTTGGGTCTCTCTACTGGCCTTTTTTTTTTTTTTTTTTTTTTTTTTTTTAACTCTTTTGTTTTTAATTCTGGGGTAAAGCTGGCCCCTGGGTTCCTGTGAGGGTTTTCACAATGGGGAAATAAAAGTTCAGAGAGTTCAGCTCTGTCCAGGCTCTTCCTTCAGCTGGGCCTGGCTTCTTGCTGGGATTCCTGGGTCTGTAGCTCCTATGGTTTCAGGGAAGACTTGGTGGGTGAGATTAGGCAGGCCTTTGCTCAGGAATTCTCTGCCCAGGGTCAGGCTTGGGTGCTGCACTACGGACTCTGTCATTTGCCAACTGTTTCCGTGCCTGCGCCTGGCACAGATCACAGCACTCTACACTGAATCTAACAGTCCCTGGCACACTCTGCCACAGAGGAGGTATTGGTAGAGATCTTCTGAATAAATCACCCCTGTTTTTGGTTTAAGGCCACTTCTGGGGGAGGGGCCAGTGGCCTTCAGGGAAGTTGGATGCTTCTGCGGCTGAGGCCTTTCCAGGATGGCAGGCAGTGCTATGGTCTTGACTACACTCCCCGGGCAGGGCTGCAGGCAAGGCTGTGGCTCTATCAGAGGCTTTCCTGCAGGTGGTTAGAGGGCTTCAAAAACCTACGTCCTGCCATGGTTTCTCCTTTCTCTTCCTAGTACTGAGTCAGGTTCTTCCAGGAAAAGGTCAGTCTGGCCTAGCAGAGGCTGAAACCTGGACTGGGTGGTCAAAGGGGTAGAGTGCCCCGCCGAGCTAACTGAGCGATAGTTTTGAGAGATGGTGGTTAGGAAGGAGGGCATCTTAGGTAAAGATCTGAGATGCACGTCCCAAGGCTTCTATCACATTGAGACCCTCCCAGAGCTCTGCTCCCTTCAATGCTGAGAGAGGCTGGGGTTCTTTTTAACCCTTTGTGGACACTGGAAATTTGAATAGAAAGGACACATACAAAAATACTGACAGTGGTTATCTCCAGGAGGTAGAATTACAGGTGATTTTAATTGCTTATTTATATATATGTATCCATGATTTTTAAATAATAAACATGGATTATTTTCATAATCAGAAAATTATGACAAGCCAGGTAAAACCACATGTAAGAGCTCATGAGCATGGCCCTCTTGGGGAGGCAGATGCCTTAAATTTCAGGCCATGCATAGGAGAGCCTCCAATTATGGGGCAAGCTGTCAATAACAATTTCTAGGCCTTTTCAGCAAAATATTACTAGGGTACTCCAAGTTTTGGAGCTAAAAATCAAGACTCACCCCCCACAAAACTGGTTTTTCGCTGATCATCTTAACTCTATCTGTGATTCATGATTAAGCTGGGTCCAGTCAGATCCTGAGTCATCTTTTAAATCAACAGGAAGATTCATTTAGTTCAGCAGTTTAATGGGATAGGGATGCTGTTCTAGGCTGATTCTCTGAACACCTGTAATCCCTGTATATACTCTCTATTAAAAAAAGACTATTCACTCAGACTGTCTACTTTCCCAACCTAACCACATGAAAAAGATTTTATAATACCATGCAAGAAACTGCAAAGACAGCTGTGGAGTCTTACAGATAAGAACTGACAGATTGTTAAGTAGGGGTCAGATGTCAGTTTGACACTACTTCTACCATAGCCTCGCTCAAATGCCACCTCAAAAAGCCTTCCCTGGTTTCTCCTGTCCCTTCTCTGAGTGATATGCTGTGCACAGCTCTAACCCAGAATGCCTCCCCTGCACTGCAGTGTTGATGTACACATTGTCCCCCTCTTTGGACTGTAAGTGCTTGAGGTCAGAATGGGTCTGTGGAGTCTGTGGATTGATGCCACCTGGATTCTGCCACCTGCCAGCAGTGTGACCCTGGAGGACTGGCTCTCAGTTCATCTCTGCTTCACCAGCATTGGAACTGGCATAGACAAGACAGGCAGACAATGTTAGCTGAACAAATAAATGAATGCAGGATTGGATGTGCAAGGCCTCTTTCCTACTTTGTGGGAGAGGATGATTCATTCACACATTCCCTCCTACAGGACTCGGCACAAGTCGGACACACAGTAGGTACGTAATAAACACTTGCTGAATGCCAAAATATGGAAACAACAACTCTCACTAAATGATACTCTGGCAATCTCCCTAGGCATCTCCCCAGAGTTTTACTATTGAAGACAGAAAGAAGCTTTGTATAAAGGCAGACAATTGCGATTATTATTGAAGGTAGCATGTAATGAATAATTAAATTGGGCCTGAAGAAAATACAATGAAAAGGTCCCATGCCTTCAAGATCTGGTTTTTGTTTTATATTAGATGGTCAAAAAACAGTAATTTCCACTCTTCACATTTTCCATTAGAAGGAATGAATGTCTTAATTAAATGAACATCAAATAGAGCGACCAATTTATAAAATTTTCTTGTCTCCTATTCATTCATTTTAGTACCTTCCAGAGTTTGAGAAATGACCTGGATCTCTTTGCTGCTGGATGGATATCTGTGATTATCTGACCAGAACTGCTTCTTCTGACTCTGTAGGGGAAGAAGTGGGGTTACCCATCCTCTGGGCCCTGCCTACCTTGCCCTGTGGGCCACCTCTACAGAACCCTTTCTTCTCCACCACAGTGCTGCCGAGAGCTGCCCCAGCAAAGTGCAGGGACCTGGAAGGGGCAGTTCTCTGAACTCTCTGGGCTCCAAGTGGCTGCTTCAAGTCCTGGCCCTATGATTGGGTAGCATCTGGACAATGGCTTAGTTACATCTGTGACGGCTTTCATTATGGGAACCCACAAAGCACTGGCAAATTTTCTTTCTTTCTAACCAAGAGGAATGAAATAAATAGTTTTTTGAAAAGGTCTCTGGAGCCAGATGGTCTACGCTTTGAATCCTGGCTCTACACTTGCCAGTCATGTGATCTGGAGGACAGGCACTTGGTTCTGTGTTCCTCCTAACCATCAAGTCTCCACCACAAATGGTATAATTTCAGGCAGGCTATATAACATAACCTTGGTGAGCCTCTGTTTTCCCTTCTATAAATGGAGATAATAATCCTATTTCATATAGACACATGAAGATCAAAAGAGGTAACATTTAAAATGAAAGACAAACTTATTCCCAGGGCCCCAGGGCCCCAGGACCCCAGGAGATTGCCCTCAGTGGAATGTTAACTCCCTGAGGTCAGGGGCTTCATTTGGTCCCTGCTGTATCCCCGTAACATAGAGTGTCTGGCATACAGTATGTGCTTCCTGATGTCAATGAATGTTGGCTGAATGACCTGGCTCCTTCCTGCCTTTCTTTCTGACTTCACCTGGAACCTCACTCCTCTGCACGTCCTTCATCTCCCTGTATCAGCTTCTGGTCCCCAAACATACCAACGTCAGTGCATGCTGGTGTACTCATGCTTCCTGCTCCCTCTGCAGGAATGCTCTTCCCTCCAGTGTTGGTATGGCTCATCCTGTCACCATTCATGTTTCAGATCAAAAGGTATCACTTCAGTGAGGTCTTCCCTGACCACTGCTTCTAAGACAGATAAGTCCCCCCAATGTCTGTATCATATTTTCTTATTGACCTCACTATACTTATTATTTATTTGTTCTTTGTTGTCTGTCTCCTCCTAATATAAGCTCCATGAGGACAGGGACCTTATCTGGATTCTTAGTGCCCAGGAGTATCCAGCATGTGGACAGTACTTGGTACATGTTTATTTAATGAATAAATATGTAAGTAAATAATAGATATTGTTGATTCAAGACATAGATTGAGAGCAACTAAGAACTTCATTTGTTTTACCTTTCCTTGTCCAAATGAGGAGGGCAAAGG